TGAGAATCAATGGCTTTTAAAGTCAGTAATATATCATGCATCAGTGCAATAATGTATTCTGAATTCTCCTGAAATAAGCTGGACCCCACTCTGACAAGACCTTTAAATCCTCTAAATGTCAGGAGATTATGCTTGACACCTTTGGAGCCCTGGCAGAAGATAACTCTCAACTAATTCTCTGTTTTTAGAATTTGATGTTGCAGTACTGATTGACAACTTAGCTACTAAAATTGAAATCTCTCTTTTCACAGGAATCAAGCTCTATTTGTTGGCATGTCAGCCACAAGGTCCCATTCAGTTCTTCTGCTGAGAATGTTGGCAGATCTTAGAAAATCTACAACAGTTCTATACGCTGTCAGATCTTATCAGTACAGTGCTAAAGAGTTATCAATTTTTGCACTAGGACATATTGGGTAAACCGATCTACCAGGAAAACAGGCCCATGCCTCTTCCTCAGGAAGAAGGAAAAAAAAAAAAAAAGGAATGGCATGATTTACAATTATTTTCTCCTTTCTTTAGTTATACATGTACCATATTTCTCTGGGTTGAAGGTCAGCATTAAACACTGTATAGCTGCAGAAGTTCTTTAGAAAAACTGCTCAAACGAGAACAATGAATTACAGGTACTTGAAATAACAGAGAAATTATTTCAGATCAAAAAATAAGGATGACATTTTGTTCATGTAAGAAGTACCAAAGGACAAAAGGAACAGAGCTAGCTCAAACTACACTGCCTGGAAACCTGAGCTTCAAAACTTCAGCAATAGAAGAAGAATGCTGTGGTAACCCAATAAACAAGGTTTTCCAGGCATTTAGTTAGGGAATAAGCACTGATCATTCCACATGTCAACACTGACTTACCTATTTCAGTTACTCATCAGCTATATCCCTCTCTTTGAAGGTTGTTAGACAATTAGAGAAGCCAGTAAAAAAATTTTGACAAGTCCTCCAAGTTCTAAAGAACATTTAATTTTTGCAGAATTACTTCACTTGAAAATAAGCCATTCTTGGCATCTTAGAGAAAAGAAGTATCATCTCACATTTAGAATACTGTGTTAAACTGGCAAACACAGCTTATCACTTAAATAGCAACTGTCTGCTGACAGATCCCATAGCAAACTCTAAAGCATGAACACAAGTGCTGTAGGACATTGTTTCTCAGTTTCTCATTACCCATCTGGTCCCTTTTTGCTGTACCATGAGCTCACCTTGAAAGAAGTTATTTACGGTTATCACAAGAAGCAAGTGTTTATTTGGCTATCGAAATATTTCACGTTCAGTCCTAATAAGGAAGTGTAAAATGTAGAAGTGTAAAGCAATAGCTTAAAGAACATCTGTGGTGCTACCACTAATAATGTCACTTTAGTTTCATTTCAGCATCATTTCCAGTGTCATATTGCCTTGTCACTAAACACCTTTTTATTGTTGTTTCTCTCAACAAATAATGCAAAGCGATCAAAATTGCTTCCAAATGAAAACATTCTTAGTATAGCGGAGACAAAAAAAAATGTAGGTAAATAGGGAAGACCAGCACCCAAAGTTAGGAAAGAAAACAAGTATATGTATTTACCTCCTGGAACGCCTCCTGCAGTAACAGCAGTAACAGCAACAGACTGCTACAGACACCAGAATGAGTCCAGCTACTACAGCTATGGCAATAATTAAAGCCTCAAAGTTTACTGAAAAATATGAATATATTCAACTTGTTAGACTCCAGCATTAGCATTCATCTTTCTGATAATTCTTTCCCAAGCATATTTTCATCTCTGTATGAAAAAATAAAATAAAATCAAAACCACAATTCTGTGCAATTACAGTTAAAGCTCTGCTTGACACATTTGGATTTGCTACTATCTACACTGAACAGACACTAAGTAAAACTGAACTTTACATATACCAAATTATTGAAAGTCATCCCATGATATTTTATGGGATACCTAGGGTCTGGAGAAGCCTTACAGCGACCTTCCAGTACTTACAGAAGGACTACAGGAAAGATAGGGAGGGAGTATATCAGGAAGTGTTATGAGGGGTAAATGGTTTTTACTGCTTTAGGATACTTGTGCTGAGACAGTCAAATTTAACAAGTGAAGTTCAGAGGGTCTGGCCTCTCTGATCACATGCACAAGCCAAAGAGTTACTTCTCTATAGATCTCACTAACCCATGTCGGGCCAAGCCATACCCTTCACAAATGTTGCCGAAGACTAGATCCCAGCAAATATTTTTGCTTCTGTATTATAATTTACTGGGTATAATTTACAGCTCAATATATAGTTTCTAGTTATAACACACAAGTAAATTCTGAACATGTAAATTCTGAAAGTAACACGTTTCACCATAACACGTTTCTCATTCCTACTTCCCTACAAGTTACAAGAAATTAAATACATTTCATTCAGTGAAGTACAAACAAAAAATTGTTTTAATTTTAAATTATTCTTTTAAAGTATGCTATTTAATTGAAGGAAAAATATATTTTGAACCTATTACAGTGCAGAAAAAGACTGTCAGTTTTCAGTCTGCATTCTTGTCTCCACTATCTATTTAATTTCCTTATTATTCATGAAAAGCAATACAATTAAGCTACTTTGTGTTACATTGCTTCTATATATTTTTTTTCCCCACCACTGGTTAATTGTCAACATGTCTTATTCCATATAAATAGGTAACTGGAAACCAGTCATTTGGTTTTGACTGAGAGATGCAATATTCACCTTCATTTTCAGACACACAGAGCCACGACTCATCTCCATTTTATTTTTAAAAAGAAAACACTGTCGCACTTGCAACGTAATTAACGTTCCTGCACACTTGCAACATAATTAATTTTGTCTGAAGAGGGCAGTCTCATTAAGACTATATATCCCCATGGCATGCTGCTGCATACAATAATAATAATTAAAAAATCTATTAAGGAAATGTGTATTTGTGGTTTTTTGTTGTTTTGGGGTTGGGTGGTGGTTTTATTCTGTGTTTAAGCTACATTCAGTCTAGAAACACAAACAGCACCCAAGCTAGAAGCCATTTCTATAGGAGTAAATTGTCAAGAACACCCTCAGTATCAGCAGATTCTGGTAAACACTGCTTTGCAAAGGGACATGCATTTCTCTGCTGGGTGTGGCTGAGAGTTAACTCTCTTCATAGCAGCTGGTATGATGATCTTTTGGATTTCTGGCTCCAACACCACCAGTGTTTTGGCTGGTGCTGAACCAGTGTTTTGGCTGTTGCTGAGCAGGCTTGAAGTGCATCAAAATTTTCTCTTTTTTTTTTTTTTCTTCCCCCGCTTCCCTCCACTCTACTTGCCCCTGTGAGTGCAGCTGGAGGCAGCAGGCAAGAGATTGGAGAGGCCAGGAGGGGACACTGCCACAGCTGACCCAAACTGGCCAAAGGGGTATTTCACACCACGTAACACTGCAAACAGCAATAAAACCCAAGGCAAAGGAAAAAAAATATCAGGAAGAGGCTGGGCATCAGTCTGCCTGTGGGAGGTGCCTTTGCTTGTTTTTTGTTGTTTGTTGGGTTTTTTTCCCCCTCTCCCCTTTTCTCCTTCACCTGTTAAACTGCGTTTATTTCAATCCATCACTTCTCTTGCTTTTGTTCTTCCTATTTTCATCCTGCATCCCACCAGGAGAGAGCAAATAGCTGTGCAGGTCCCTGTGTTGACAGGAGTCAACTGACTACAACTCCAGAAAAAAGTTTGCTGAACATTTCATACTAACAGCATCTGCCACAACACTGAAAGCCTATTTTATCATAGAATGCTTTGGGCTGGAAGGGATCTTTAAAGGTCATCTAGCCCAACATCCCCACAGTAAGCAGGAACGTCTGTAACTAGATCAGGTTTATTTCCTTAAAAGTGTGTGCTTTATCAGTGAAAGTATGTATCTTCTGTAGCTCTGAAAAACTGCAATGGTCTAAGCATAAATGCCTTTTCTCACAAAAAGCAAAGAGCCCTTCTAAGAACAAAGAACTGATAAAGTTCTTCTCTACTGCCCGATCTAGTCCCTCAGTTTGCAGGGAATATACAAAGCAGTAGCATTCAAAAACCTGCATACTCCATTTTAATAGCAATCTTCCATCTCTGCTACCTTAATTTAGACTGCTGAATAACCACATTGCTCTAAATGTGATAACGTTCTTCTAATTTAGAGTGAACACATAGTCACTGAGAGTTCACCCCCACTTATTTCCATCCTTCAATGTCCTTGTGCTCTGGAGCCAACACACGGAAAGCAGTAAACATTTGCTTTGCAGGACTGAAGCTGCACTCTTACTTCACACAACAAGCTTTCTGATATCTTATTTGTTCTCTGTTACAGTCTAGTCTGAATTAAGGTCTGCATATGCAAAAACATAGCTACAAAGATTTGACCCCAATGGCCCCATATGCCCTGTACTGTGTTTTGTAATACAACATGCAAAGCAAAAGGGAATCCAAGAACAATCAAGCGATGCTCTACTGCGACAGGCAGTGGCATTCTGCAGCTTCCTTTTTACCTGTAACTGCATTGCCTTCAGCACCCACAGACCTCATTAGTTTCAGCTATTTAAGCAAAAACAGCATTCAAGAACTTTTGGGTGGCTCCATTCCTGTGGTACTGGTTCATTGCTGCCACTGGAATACACTACAAAAATTGTAGATCAAGGCATATCACCCTGACATTAAAAAATACTTTAAAAAGTAAGAATGATCACCTTTTGTCATCAGGGAAAGGCCTTATTTCTTTGTACCTCCAAAGTATGATTCAAGAAACAGATGCATCCTGACTTCATACATAAAATACTCAGAACACTCCAACATCACTGGTTCTCAGTCTCAACTGGGCCACCAACAGAACTTCACCACATGGTAAATGTTTTAAACCCATTGGATCTGTGTAACTAAACTGGCTGTTCACAAAGAACTCTTACCAATTACTGTTTCTAAGTCCAGAAGACTAGAGAGCATGATGCCAAATCATAACCATGACCTCTTTTCCCCACGCCTCCAAATAATTTATCAGGAAACAGCTCTACTCAACAGCAGTCTTTAAGCATAATCACAAATAACCATATCACAAATAAGTAAAATTAGTACCTACTCCAGCAAACTCCCCATCGAGCATTTGAAAGTGAACACAATGAAGATGGTGGAAGAATGCTTCTTACAGGGTAATCAACACAAGTCTTGTTGGTGTAACACCAAAGGCACTGTGCAAAAGAAAAAAAAAAACAAACCAACACAAATTATTGGATCTTCAAAAACAGTTTACAATTTAGTGCTTCTCTCCACAGAATTCTTAAGCAAGTACAATATTCTACAGATAAAGTGAAAGCGCTTTGTCATGTAAAATCTACAGAAATCCTGGTATAACTCCTAAGTAAGCCTAAACTGAATTGTGAATAAGTACATTTGGTACTTATAGGTAATAAATATTTACAGTAGACTGAAAATACCTGCAAACATATTGACCTACTCTGTATACTTGAGGATAAAATGGCTTTGAGTTTAGGATTACTGAAAGAAATACAAAATCAGAAAGTTAACTGTTCAGACTTTTGAAACACCTGGTAACTTCAAGGAATACAAATACACTTAAAATGACATTTCTGCTTTTTACACCACTGCTAAGCATCAAGCTTAAGTTTTAGTTTTTATCTGTTACAAATAAATACTCATTCAAAATTCCTTTAACACACAACCAGGGAAGCAGTTTAAGATGACAGTAAAAGGAAACCGTGACAGAACAGGTTTTTTTTAAGGATTCATTACAGAAAGAGCTCATCCAGGAACTACGGAACTTTATCTAACAGTACCATCAAGAACATCTGTCATACACCCTAAATTGTATGAAATCTATTATCTTGCTCTAAAGGGTTAGAAAGCATTAAATACAAAGGAAATTGTAGTAGACTCTGCTCTCTTAAAAAAGTGCAGAGGCAAGAAAAATATTTTAAAATTTTGTAGTTGGTAGATCGTACAAGTCAAATATACCCACAGATACATCAGTAAAAAATAATTAAGACAAAATAATCTTTGCAAAAAGAATGCCCTCCTAAGTTTTAATTTTAATCCTGGATGTTAGATGAGAGCATGCTTTTATTATCAGATTGGTCATTTAATAAGAATTAACAGTTCAATAATAATGACTAAGAGGTGATAGACTAAAAGCCATTGTTAAACTTCCTTTGAATGTAATGCTGAGTTGGAGGCTGGACTAGATGACTCATGAGGTCTCTTCTAACCTGAACGACTCTGCACAGTTGGTGACAGCTAGAAGCACAGAAAGGCCAACTGTATCCCACTCTGATGGAAACTACCGCTTGTAACTATTAACAATATGTGTAGCCCACAAGGCAATACCTGATGCACCTACTGATTGGTGCAGAGGCTGAAGAAAAAGAGAAATATTCCAACTGACTCACATCTGATACTAAAAATTCAGCTAAATCAAGTTAGAATAAAGAAACAAGCCTCAACACCCAAGGCTGAAACATTTCCTTAAGTTTGATCCCCATGTACGTAATCCGAAAATGAACACTGAAAAGATTTTACCCAGCATATATGCTTTGCAGAATATGCTAGGAACCATGTTCACATGAATTTATTTTAGTAGTGTCTCATACGGATAAAGAAGTACATCATTAATTCAGTTCACACATTTTAAGGACATAATCTCAGTATTAAGAAGTTCAAAACTATGAACTCAAAATGAATGCTTCTTCCTCTACAGTCAGACAGATGGATGCAAGTGACATCTTGAAAAGAACTGGCTATATTTACTGATCATCTAATTTCCTATAGCTATTAGCTGCCTTTTTTTTTAAAGGCCTTGCTTGCCTAAAATCCATTTCCCACAAGAATTTAGATTACATACATTTGTTATTAGAATAAAGATGAAAAGAACAAAAATAAATGGCTGAGGGGAAAGATGTGTTGGTAGACTGCTATCCCACTAAAGCAACGAAAGTAATTTCAGCAATCCATTGCTCACACAGATGCTAATAGCTTTGTTCTGTCACTCCTTTTTTTAATTTATTATCTGAATCAAGTCTCAACTCCCTTTTTCAAGGTTACATTGATGCTATTAAAGCAGTTTTTCTGAATCATTCATCATTCTGTCATTAAAACAAGCCTGGACCCTGTCACTGCTTTGACAGATTCTGAAAATAACGTATCTGCTAACTCTGTTAGCACCTTCAGTACACAAACACAGCTAAAAGATTTATTTCTCTCACAAGGTGAACACAGAGCTCTAAAGTTAGAAAAAGTTGTGCTTATGTATCTGCAGTAGCAGTGGCAGCACTTATTTGAAGTGACAGTCACACCAGCAGTAGTGCCGAATATTTGATCTTTAATGACCCATATTTTCCATTTCCTACTTTACACTTTGGAAGATGAAGAATTATTTACACAATGTTAAGCTTGCGAGAACAAATATCAAGGTCTGACAACACAGAATAACGACATCAATACACAGTATTTAATATTTTTTCCCATTAAAAAGCCAGAAGATGCACAAGACAAACATAAAACAGGCAAGTTCAGATATTTCTCTATTTTTCCTAGTGAAAAAGATTTGCAGTAATTTATGTAACTTAAAGTCTTAAAGACTTCTGAAATATTTCTCTTCAGAAAGTACAGCCTTTTAGAAAAGACTAAACTGTAAAGAAAAAAAATTACTAAACAAGACTGGGTTTTTAGCTAAACCCAGGACACTTTATAGGAGTTTCTTCTGCTCTGCAGGGACAGGCACCTTCTGCATACTTATCATGACCCTTATTGTGGAGCTAAAAAGGTTTTCAGTAAAGGACAGAGAAACAAATTCTATTGTTTTATATATCTGCTTTATTGCAATCCCATGGGCAATCTAAGCACTTTGCTACCAGAACCATGACCCACCAGAACCATGACCCAGCCTGGAAGGCTTCAGCATGTACGGTCTGATGCAGAGAGTGGAAAGGACGACACCCCAGCATCTACAAAGCACTGATCCGTCTGCCTCATTTTTAAACACACTGCTTGGGGCATCTCCAGAGAAAGACACTTCTAGTTTTATCTACATTAATTCCCCAGTTCTCCTCACCAGCATACAAGAAGTGCAAAGCATTTTGGCTACACATGATTCAGTTTACCTAGCTCCCTTAAAGGGCAGAAATTTAACTAAGTGCTGCTTGCAAAATGAAGATGAGTCTAATCCAGCAACAACACCAACTAGCTCGGTTGTGCTGTGAAAGCACTGAGCACGCACTGAAACAGGAAGCCTGGATTCTACATGGTCTGTCCTCTCCAGACAAAGCAGAGAAATACCCTGGGTGACCAAATCATAGAGAAACGCTGGCAAAGTGAAAGCGCGCTGGCATCGAGTATGACCAAGAGGAAGCAGCACATCAGTTGACTCTACTGTTTAAATAGGAACGATGTCCTTCTCTTAAGGGTAACTTGACCAAAGAGTCAACCAACCCCAACAATCTGACTTCATATTAAATGGAGAGGAAAAAATGAAAACCATGGAATTCTCAGTCAAAAAGGATGTTTAAAAAACTTACCGAAACATTTTTCAGACATTCTTCACAGGATTGCTGGGAAAACTCTGAGCATGCTAGAAAACAAAACAACAACAGAGAAATTATATATATATTTATACTCCATAACATCAAGAGCTTAACACAATATTTAGCTTATTCTTTTTCCTACTGCAATATACAAGCAACAATTTTGATAGAAGTACAGAAAGCTCAGTATTCTCATTCCAGGAGAACTGCAACAAACATAGATCCAAAATATTTAATTTTGACATCTGACCTAGTTAAGGAAACAATTTAACTTACTCGTAACTTCTATTTGCTTTCCCTAAGGACAAAGGTGGGAGAAAAATCCGAAGAGCCTCCCTGTATCTCTTGAAGTTCTAAGGCTTCTACACTGGGATTTAAATAACTGTAGTGGTTTGACCCTGGCTGGTGGACAGGTGCCCACCACAGCTGCTCTATCACCCCTCCTTCTCCGCTAGACAGAGGTGAGAGAAATACAATGAAGCGCTCATGGGTCGAGATAAGGACACAGATCACTTGCAATTACCATCCTGGGCAAAACAGATTTGACTTGGGGAAATTTATTAACAATCAAATTAGAGAATGGCAAGGAGGAATAAAACCAAATCTTAAAAATAACACCTTCCTCCCACCCCTTCCTTCTTCCCAGGCTTAACCTTACTCCCAATTTAACCATCTCCTCCCTGTGAGCAGGGTGGACAGGGAATACGTGTTGCAGACAGTTTGTTACACATTGTCTCCATCCCTCCTTCTTCCTCTGGGGGAAGACTCCTCACTCTTCCCCTGCTCCAGCGTGGGGTCCCTCTCACTGAAGACTCCCCAGCTGAGTCCTTCTCACAAGAGACTGTTTCTGACAAACTGCCTGAACGTGAGGCCTCTCCACAGGGTGCAGTCCTTCAGGAGCAAATTGCTCCAGTGAGAGCCCCCCACGGGGTCAGAAGTCCTGCCAGCAAACCTGCTCCAGTGTGGGCTCCTCTCTCCATGGGCTACAGGTTCTGGCAGCAACCTGCTCCAGCTGGCATCAGCTCTGTCGGACCTAGGGGAAGCTTCAAGCAGCTTCTCACAAAAGCCACCATGCAGCCCCCTCGCCACCAAAACCTGGCCATGCAAACCCAATATAGGAACACCCCAAGTTTTGCAGCTTCAGAAGCCTAACAAAGTCCGACCCTTGCCTAGAGCTAGTCTTCCTTCCACATATATTAAGCTTTTTTCCTGGAAAAAAGGGGTTTTTAAAAAAACAAAGCTCTCCAAATACCATGTTTTGAAATAACAATTAAAAATGCCTAACAGGAGACACAGTTATTTTGTTAGAGGTCAACAAGAACTCTGACAGAAGTCTGAAAACCCAAGTGATCTGGAAGAAGTCAATTAATATTTTCTCTGGGGGGAAAAAAAAAAACCCACACAAAAAACCACCCCAACACCCAAACAACAAAACAACCTTCTATCCTAAAAAAAGAAACTTTACTGGTGATCACATTCCCAGATTCTAGCTAAAGGCTATGATTTTCATCCAGAAGTACTGCATGCTTACCATCCTAAGACTGGTCATCTTTATCCACAACACAGACTTGCCGCCCACAAGACTCTCACACATGCCACAGTCTTGGCCTAGACAAACTACCTGACAGATGAGAGGGAGTTTCCTCTCTTGGCCTGAACTTGGATTTTTCTTCCAATTATTGTAGTTCCTATAATAGTTTTTAACATCATTTAACAAAACTAACTACTGATGCCCTTAATAACATGCTTTAACTTGGCCAGCCACAAACTGGTCAGGCAGTTGGATTAGATGATCATTGTAGGTCTCTTCCAAATGGAATAGTCCATTCTATTCTAAACTATTTCCACATATTATAGAAATATCAGGGGAAAATATCTCCAGATCAGGAATCCAATTCTGCTTTTAATGGATAATGAGGCATTAGTCATAAGCAGTTATCTATTTAAACTAAATACTTACTACGTTTTGGGATAACTAGATATTTCAATATTTTCTTTTCATAATCCAATATTATACATTTCTGGTACTAATTCTTAACACTAAATGCATTTTAAGTATCAGTATATTTAGCTTCAATTAATATCTGTTTAGAAAAATCATTAGTTTATACAGTACCAATGTTAATTACTGGTACCAGTTACCCTAGAAACAACCTAAGCATTAAGATCCATATACCAATTAATGGGGAAAAAAAACCAAACCAAAACAAAACATGAAAAGCAGATTCAGAAATATTTCTCAGTTTAAACTCAACTTGAAAATGTAATGAAGTATTTTTATAATAAGCGTGATGGTACCCTATGTGGAATAATCTCATTTGAAAATTTTTGAGCTTAAACTGAGAATCTTAACTAAGATTTAAAGCATCTAAAGAAACTATGAGAAGTCATTTTTACATACTAAGTCTGATTTACCAAGCAGTGGAAGCATTACTTTAATAAGCGGTGTATTTTTTACTAAAATAGTTTAGTGTAACACCCTATAGAGAGTGAATTGTAGCTGTATGAAGACTACCTTCTCACTAGATAAGAAAAAGCTATACTCGTCATGCGCTGTTTTTTATTATTAGAATTCTGCTCATGCATACAGGAATTGTACTATAGTTAATTATACACAAATTACCTGTATGACCTCACTTTCTAGGAGACACACTCATGGACCAGGGTAACTGCACAAATACAGAACAAAGGTTGTACCTCCAGAAAATACAGTTAAACCAGAGTAGTATTGACAATAAAACTCCATTTTGTTTACAAACAGCTCCCCCCTACTCCCCTTTCCAGTATGTATTTGTGCATGAAGGTAGCATATGCAGAGATTTTTAATTTTTTTTTATTATTTTTTTAGGGAAACAGGTATCTATACCAGCATACACTAGGGACTGCCATACAATCATAAGGTAATAGACCTTTTTGGTTGCTTGGTTTGTTGTGGGGTTTTTTGTGGGGGTGAGGGAAGAGCAGAGGCAGTCACGACATGGGACGACACCTCTTACTATTTCACTGTATGAAACAGTGTGACTGCACAGACAGTCAGAAACCTTTCAACACCTACGCTAAGTTTATTCACAGCCAGTTTATTTTAATGTGTTCTCTGCCCCCATTCTCAAGACAACACTATTCTTCAACTTAAACAGTTGTTCCTTCCTACTGGCAGAAGGGTACCTTCTCCAAGTGCTCTTATTCTCTCTCAATCTTTCTTCTCTGCCAGCAGTTAAAGCCATAGTTTTGTAGGTATTTTCTCAAAGAGGGAACAATACAACCACAGCAGCCCTGCTCCGTGCCAGTCCAACTCCACTGGACATAGGTGCTGAACTTGCAGTACAGTTAAACAAGATAGCATACAAGGTCTTGCAAAACTATCATAAAACCACCACCTCCCTCTTCATGAGAGCATCACTTCAGCAACTGAGCCATATCTGATAGTCAACAAGTTTTTGCAAAGTATTGCAATTTAAGATTAAATTTGTAATACTAGTCACATGGCATAAGAATCAAATTTTTATTTCTCACTTTAATCTTACTTCTAATACTTATTCCTTAAAGGTCACTCACATCTTTCCATATAATATCACAATTCTTCTCCATATCAACAACCAGCTCTAGGTCATGAGCAAATTCTAAACTCAGAGAACAATAACAGGATGTGAAAAGTTCTTTCCACTACCAAATCAGCCTGATTTTTGCCTTCAAGCAAGCCCTTTGTTTTCACTTATGTTTCTGGGGACTACCACCAAGACACGGATCAGTTTGCAGTTATCAGTTCTTTACTCTGAGAAACACCTATGCTTTCCCTTCTGTCTCATATAGTTGGATACTTCCAACTTTTTTGAGTATACACCCTTCCAGAAGAGAAATGAAACACCTCAAACGGGACTCTGAAAACACACGTCAACATTCACTTGAGATACTCTAATGCAAACTAACCTGATGTGTACCTTTCTGGTCACATTTGCTAATGGCAACCAAATTTGGGGATGAGCTTCACCAACAGCTTTCCAAAAGCAGCTGCGAGATAAACAATTCCAGCAGAACTAACAGGACGGCAAGAGCCTCTCCGCTGGCTACTCCTTCCAAGCCACATTCCTCACTATCAGTCAGGACAGAGAAAACCGAGGCGATCGCTGTCTGCTTGCAGCAAAACTGCGGATGGCCCCGAGGCTCCGCAGGCCGGCCTGCGGCCCAAGGCCCAGCGCCATC